TTTCTTATTATCATTATTCTGGTGTAGTAGATACATTTTTGCCACCTTATCTTGAACTGGGGGTCCATTTTTGTTCATTTTGGAGGTATTTTCGCCTCAAGCCCCCATTAATTTCCAACCCCGGTCAAGACGCACATAAACATGCATGCAATCGTGCACACATTACAGAAATGCCTCTGAAGGGCTGAAGGAACATAAATGTAGTATTACGAGAGTAGGGTTGATGAATGTTCTGTAGTCTTAAAATTTAAATCTTTTCACATTGTGTTAAATAAAAGGGTCAGTGAAACACTGCATGAGAGACTGACCTCAATAGACATGCAAAATAACCTATAGGATGGTACGTGTCTGTAGGCATTTCAAATACAAAGTTGGAGGAAACTTGCTGAATGCAAAGCAGAATGCATATATGCAACATGTTGATAATAAAGACTCAGTAAGGAAATCTCTAAAAATGAATTGTGCCACTGATATGATCATTTATTTTGCATGTTTTCTGCATTGTCTAAGCAATACTATTCACCAAAGCTAATTTAGCAAATCAAGTAAATGTGATATTTAAATGATTAAACAAAATTAATACTACTGACTGCAGATTGCACAGCACAAAACCCCAGATTGCAGGCCAGTTCGGAGCATTTTGCAGCAAACAGCAAATCACTACAATCTGACATGCTTTGCTGGGCCTATATTACTGCTACAATGATCACTGGAAGATGTATATCCTTATTAAATGAAATTCTGTTCACACCAGCCTTTTTGTGCTGGTAAGAGGAAAATGCGTCAAGCAAATATCGCCACCGTTTGAAAATGCACTGCATCCATTTGCATAGAAAGGCAGTTTGCTCAGAAAATGTGAAGCGGTGCTGTGACATTGCAGCTGGTTAAAGCAACTGTATGTAAGGGTTTTTACCTTGAAATATTAGTTTCAGAATAATTCCGAATGGCACACTGACTAATAGTATGACGAATGGCTTCTGTTTTTTCCAACGCTGCACCCCAAACATCTGTTCTGGGAGCGTGTAAGTTTGATGAGCCGTAAAGCAATCTGTGGAAAGGGCGAATTGCTTTACGGCAGAAACAAAGGCAAAAGGAACATCTAGTATCCGCTGTAACTAATACATAGATATATTTATGTGAATTACACTTACTTCGCAGTAGGGGGCTTCAAAGTTGCAAAAATACGCAGAACTACATACTGTGCAGTACGAAGGGTGAGCCAAATCTGAAGTTAAGTTATCGAGCTCTGAAGATGTATTCCCTCATTACAGCTCATGAATAGAGGTTGAGCAGTCAGGGCCATGTGACTTATCGTGCTGCTCATTCGGTGTGGGACATTCATGTATGTGGTTGCATATGTTCAGAGGTATGAGGAAGCACAGCGTGAAGCAAGTGTGGTGATATGCTGCTTCAAAGAATGTCATATCTGATAAAGTGTCATTTCCTGTTAACTGCTTCTGGAAAAACAGACTAGCATTTAACAGATTTCTACTGAGGATAAATTAGTTCTGTCAGGACCACTATCGTCAATATAACTTACGATTAGCATACATTTTAGGTCGGGGGAATGGTTCTGCTCTGGGCAAACACTCCCTGCCCATCCACGCAGCCTAGCATGGATAGGAGCAGGGAGAGCAGAATACCCCCCCTAGGGTAACAGAACAGAACCAACATCAATGATAAATGTAGCAGATACCATTAATGTTCTACGTGATTATTTTAACAACATGATTCAGTGGTCTGACTCAATGATATATTCACTGCCAAGTCCTGACTGGACGAGAGGAGTAGATGGAGGTGGATGATTAGTTCCTGAGCGAAGCGATAGCTGCTGAATAATGACTGAAGGGACCTTATGAAGGGAATTATGATTGGTGTCGTGATCCTATAGGTAGACGTGGATCAGCTGAGTGTCAGCTGATGCCAGAACTATCGCTACGCTCCATTTCTCTCTGTCTCTCTGCAATAAACAGAGGCCTAATCTCCATTATAGGAAGAAGTAAAACATCTTCTTCAGCTTCTGTCTCCCGTCATGGTTGTGTGTGTTGCACTTAAATGAGCATGTATACAATGTCGATTAAATTGACAAATGACTTTCTTAATCCTTGTTCATTTTCATTATTATAACAATCTTCAGTATAAAGAGCCTCACCTCTTAGAAACATCTGCAACACCTCAGTCAATGTCACTAATGATTTGTTTTGCAATCTAAAAGTCTTTCCACTTTCATTTACTTTCTCCGTTCACAAAATTGAATATGAATAATCGCATTTAGTCTTCCTTTAAAAGACAGCTGTAATTGATTGATTGCCCATTGTTGCCACTGTTTTGTCTCAACTATTCACTATGGTTTGCTAAATAACTTTGCCAGTGGTGGCAGGTATTTATATTTGCATGAGAGTAAATATAGCATTTTGACAAAGAACTGTAGATATTTTCCAGAATAATGGTTTGCTAGTTGTTGCACATATTTGTAAATATATAGGCTGCAGGTTCTCCAGTGAAAAGCTGCACACTTCTGGCAACCATATTGTTTGTTTGTTTGATTTTGCAAGGGTTTTAAAGTTTGATCTTTGTAGATTTGTTTTCTGGGAAATTCGTATCTTTCTGAGGGAAGCGGTGTCATTTGCCTTTGCTCTTGTTCAGTCTGTTGTGTGTGGTGTACTCTGTGTCATTCTGTGGTGAAATGAGCCTTTTTCTCTTGGCTAGAGTGTGTCCTGTAACAACAGCGGTTAGAGTTTCACACTCTGCACTTTTACCCTCTGTCTGAGAGACAACAGAAACTCTTTTTACAGTATTTGTGTTCCAGCGCAGTAATGATAATTCCTCAAGCGGTATTTGTTCTAAACCATTAACCTAATGCCGAGTTCACACTGCACGATTTTCAAAGACGTCGCATCACTGTTGGTTTCACACTGAACGACTATCTGGGGTAGCATTCAGTTGCTGCTGCTGTTTACACTGCAGGATGGATCGGCGACAGGGGGTTTCACATTGCATGACTTCACAATAGGAAGAATCGGCCGACAGCTCTGTCTGGTGCAGGGTTGCCAGGTTTTCGCTACAAAACCCGCCCAATTACTACTCAAAACTAGCCTGAAAATTGCCCAATTGCTTTCGAGGGGGTCCCCCAGTAAAAATCGCGTTCGGGGGGTAAAATAAATTTTTTTTGGCGGGGTTCTCCTGGTACAATTCACATTCCAGGGCCTAAATATCATGTTATTGGGGTCGCTTCAACCTGCTGACATAAAAAACAACCGGCGGCAATCGCGGATTTGGCAACACTGGTCCGCAAACTACGTTTCATATAACTCCTCCCCGAACTTCCCGCTGCCCTGTATCTTGGTCTCTCATTGGCTGTAGGTCATCGCCGATGTAGTTTTCAGTCAGAAACCATTGCACACAGCGAGATTGTGAATCGCCGACAGCTCTAGATATTTAGCATGCCAAATATTTCACGGGCGTCTGCGACCTGTCGGCGATTCCCTCAGATCGCGTCTTTGATAATTCACACTGTGTGATTGTCACTCGCGTGAACGAGCACCGATTTTCCTCCGATTTCGGGCATTTGTCGGCGATTTCGCAAAACCTGTCGGCGAGTGAAAAATCGGGCTAAAATCGTGCAGTGTGAACTCGGCATAAGTGTCCTAAGTAACCTAGGTGTACTTTCTGTGTTTGGTAAACTTCATACTTTTTAAGATTTCAAAAAAGTCTTTCTTACATCTTTCTGCATACAGAACAGTGATAGATTGATCTTTTATTTCTTACATGTAGCCTGTTAAAGGGATGGTTCACCCCAAAATAAAAAAAAATCCTGTCATCATTTACTCACTGTCACGGGCTTTTAGTCTTTCTGTTGTTATTTTCATTATCATGGTCTTTTAATTTGTTTTCAGTAGTTTCCTGTGGTTATTCATTTGATCTGCACAGGTGTTGGTCATTATTTCCCTCATTTGCCCAGTAATTAAGTTGCTGTGTTTTCACCTTTCGTTTGTCTGGTATTGTTCGTGTGTAACACGCTGTCTCGCATGTGACTTTTCTATTATAAGTTATTTGTTCTATTTTTATCATCATCGTTAAATCTGTATAAGTTTTGTTCTTCTGTTGAACACAAAATATATTTTTTAAGAAGGTTGGTAATCAAGCAGTTGACAGTAGCCACTGATTTCAGTAGCATGGAAAAAATACTATGGAAGTCAATGGCTACCGTCAACTGTTTGGTTCCCAACATTCTTCAAAATATCTCCATTTGTGTTCTTTTCATTGTGAAATGAGTAACAGTACTGCCAGGCTGCTGTTAAGTCTGATATGGACTGTTCTTTCCCTCATTAACAGCATCTTACATGTTTACAGATTCATAAAATAATCAGCACTGAACCACTCAAACTCTTGAGACATCAGAGATCTTGTTCAAATAAACCTCAGTCACTTGTTTCCAGTGTGTTTCTAACTTCAAGCACTGCACAGCCAGAAACAGCAAATAGGGTTAGTTTAGTGGTTTGATGTCAAGAATCTGCAGAAGTTCATAGAGAGTAATTTTGTGCAGCTTAGTTTTAATAAATGCCCTTTTTACTATTTGCATTTTATGCATTTTGTAGAAGCTTTTACACGAAATGCAGGACATTTACACATCCAGGAGTTCTAGCATTCCTTCAGAATCAAACCCATGACCTTGGCATTGTGAGCGTCGTTCTCTTTTATTTCAGAATTATTGTGTTCCAGTAGATCAACAGAATTTTGGTTTTCTTTAGCGTGAACCTTTTAAGTGTATGCCATGCAAGCTAAAGTGCAAAACTAGTTTGTTCAGATCAACCCTAAGTATGAGAAAAAAGTAAGAGCAAGTCTACCAAACACCAATAATAACATGAACGGTTTAGTTTAGTTTTTGGTACTTCTGCTGTGCCCAGTGTTTAATGCATATCCTCATTTGCCCTCCTCTGATGAAGACTGTTTTCATGCATTATGTAAGTGTAACTCTCTCATTCTGCATGTCTCCTCAGCCTCTGCTGCTCCAAACCACTCTGGAACGACTCCGATATCACAAAGAACAAGGTAGGCCATGGAAAATTTCATTCTGAGCCACAGAACAGAGGTGTTGTCAGAACACAGGAAGGATTTTTTTATGATTACTGCATTAATTCTGCTGTGTTCTTATTTGTTGTTCTTCTTTTGACTTTGTGTGTCAGATATCAGCGAGTCCGTGGATGACAACAGCATGATGTTGGAGGCCTAATATACAGCAGTATGTCAGGTAATGTAAAAAATAAAATAAAAAATCGCAGCACTTCACCTGTATCGTCTGCATTGGCAGCTCCCTTCTAAGGCAGAATCCCATCAATTTTTTTTGTCTTTATCCATCCATCCATCCAGTACAGTCCAGGATGGCATTCCACCATCTTTGCTTTAAAAGAGAAAGGAATGATTGGCATCTTGTTAGTTTCTCTGTTCTGTTTCATATGAGTAAAGCATGTTGCAGGTTAGTTTGTTCCAGAACATTCATTCTGAGTCATTGTGAAGTGTTGACAGATTTGTTACTGCAGTAAAGTAATACAGGATCGTGCTTCTCAGCTTGTTTCGGGTATGTAGCTACGTACAGTTAATAATTCGGCCTGCGTTTGCCCTATTCAAAATAAGTATATTAATGTACATTTGAATCAAAATCAATATTGGGAAATACATTTGGGGAAATAATCAACTATTGTAACAAATATTAAAACAAATATTATTATCGTAGTCATGCAGCAATATGAGAAGCACACAAAAAAGGAAAAAAGAGTCAACTATTAATTACATGTATTTTTGAATGAAATGTTTTTCACAAAGTGTAAATGTGATGTTCCTTTATAATTTAGGAGTGCTCATATAATGCCTAGATTGGCTGCTCAGATCAGTGTAGCTTTATGAACAGAGCTATTATCAGTATTATATCAGCTTATGGTGGAGGTAACACTTTAGATTAGGGAACACATATTTACTATTAACTATTAAGAGTTTTTCCTCAATAAACTCCTAATTTGCTGCTTATTGAGAGTAAGTAAGGTAGTTGTTGAAGTAGTTATGTTTAAGCATTGGGTAAGGGATCTAGAATATGGTCATGCAGAATTAGGCTTTATAATGTGCTTTACTAATAAACGGCCAAAATGCTAGTAATATGCATGCTAATCTAAAGTGCTTTCCTGATGTCTGTTGTATCTAGTTGAAGTCTAATAATAAAAGAGAGAATTATTCATTGAAAACATTTCAGCAATATCTGACATTACTTTGACCCAGTTCCTACCTGTGTGTTATCTAAAGTGTGAATGAGTGAGTTCCGTCATCACAGAGTTTTCTGTGTGTTTAGCAGTGCTTAGATTGTGATCTCTGAACTGAATCATGTCTGACTTTCAGTGTCCTAATTGCTTTATCTTTTGCATTTTCTTAAAAAGAGATTCAGCACTGCCTCAGATGGCATGTTCACTCAGACACAGAGGCTGCATTCGAAACCGCATACTTCCCTACTATATAGAAGGCGAAGAAAAGCTGTAGGTGAACGAACAAGTATGTCCGAATCCTTAGTATTCGTGAAAGAGTAGGCGAGAATTACCTGCATGGTGTACTAATTCTCATGAGATTCGGACGAGCGTATACTTGTGTCGCGTCCAAATATGCCTACGTACCTACTACATACATAGTAGGAGAAAAGAGTACGTGAAGAGAGTAGTATGTCCGAAACCACAGTATTCATAAAGGAGTAGGCGGGAAATCCCCGGATGTCCTACTGCTTCACTGAAGTGCTCATCGATGGACACTTTTCTATCCCAGAAGCCCACGGGAGAGGATACGTCATCATCGAACAGAGCGGAGAACAGCGACGCGGGTGTTTACAAATGTGAGTATTATAAACCAAAACACGGTCCCCTGTGTTAAAATCACATTTGTTGAACTACTCTAGAGTAAACTTGAATTGCTGAAGATGTAAAGATGCTAAATATTATAATATATTTGTGATTTTGCTGTAAAAACACGCTTTATTATGTATAGCGAACAGGGGAGCTCCAGTGAGCACACTTACGTCTCCAAAGTGGATTTACATAAACCATATACATCTTAAATATGTCTATTTAACATCTGACAGGAAAATGTTCTAAAAGAATTGCAGATTAGCACATGTGTGCTATTATAGTAGAATTCACTTTTGTCAACACTGCTTTAGAGGAATGTAAGTAATGTAAATAAACAAATCTACATAAAGTAACTAAACATAAGTTATCGATTTCATTTGTCCATTAGTACTACTAATAAATTGAGGAGCGTTTGTGTTGGATAAAAGCGAGTGAACACATCAGCAGCTACCTCACCATGTAAATGCAGATAAATCACAGCGGTGACTTGACTCTTGTCTGGATGTTACAGGGACAGAGACACATGTGTGTTTATCAGGTGCAGAGTTACTGATGAAGGAATGCTGCCATCAAAGGCTCTCAGTGAGTACACTGCAGAAATGAATAAAATATCTTTTTAAATCTTAAGTTGTAGTTTATTTGAATTATTGCAATTTCAAACAGAGCTATTACAGCACTTTTCTGATTCTTGATTTCTGTGCATTTGCTGCAGAGCTTTTGCGGTGGCATTTGTGGGGGGAAAAAAAGGGAAAACCTGAATCAAAAATATAAAGTAAGATCATTTTGTTACTTCTAATACAGAAATCAAATGGCATTGTGCTGTTAAAATGATTGCTTTTCTATTATATTTGTGCATTTTTGTGGGATCTGAAATGTCTGCAGACTGTGGTCTCTTCATCCTCAGTGACCCCAGAGCCAGCGAGAACATCTAGAGAAAGACTAAAAGACATTGAGGATGTGAGTTTGGTCAAGTTTGTTCTGCTGGTTTCTGTTCATACAACATCAGTCAATGGAGCTCGAGTTTCAGAAGCTTCAAAAGAATCATCAAATAATGTCATGAAGCTTCTGAAAGTCAGTCTCCATTGAGCTCTTATTACAGAAACAGAGCTCTTATTACAGGGACCTCAATCCCCCTGCAGCAACCTGGAGTAAAGGGCCTTGCTGAAGGACACACTGGTGACGAACCAGCAACCTGCTTACCAGCTCAGTGCTTTAGCCCACTACACCACAAAAGTAATGAAGCTATTAGGGCTGTCAAATTTCCTCAGGAGAGATGCCAAAAGCTTTTTTCCCCCTAACTGAAATTATGCATTTTAAATTAGAATATAATTCGAATATTGATAATATTTTAGTAAAAAATTCGAATTGAGTTTTTCAGCCATTTTGACAGCCCTAGAAGCTATAACAAAAATTAGCATGTAATTGTAAACATATGAAATGAAATTTGGAAGAAAATGGAAAGCTGACAACATGAATTGTAAAACGTTTTAACCTGTGTAGATGTTTTACAGGCAGTCGTGCTCATGGAGAGCAGGCACACGAATGTTTGGAGCTACACAGCGGCAGCCAGATTGTCCCATATGTGTTCTTCATCATGGTCTTCCTCATCCTCTCTGTGCACTCAGTCAAGATCAGATTCAGTCTGACTGCAGCAGCGATGGTCGTGATGGACGGCAGAGACAGGGGAAGGTGGACACGGTGGTCAGCTGCAGAATTGACACAGCTGTGTTGAGATGGCAGTAGCATGTGGGATTCACCGCCTGTAAATATGTGATTATTAGAACAATAAGTTTGAATAAAGCTTTGTTTCATGTATTGTTGACTTGTATATGCATGTATTTATTGTGATGGTTACTTTTATTCATTCTTTTACTAATTTATTCATGTTTCCTGTTGTTGTCAGTAAATAAAATAAAATAATTTAATTAACTTGTGCATTAATTCGTTGCTTGACTGAAAATTGAGATGTATTCACCTTGGCTGCGTTTGTCCTTTCAAAAACAAAAAGGAAAGCAGTAAAAAAAAAAAATAAATATATATATATATATATATATATATAATTACATACAAGCTCATAAATTATAATAATATTAAATAATAATAATAAATATACTGGGTTTGCATACATCATAGAATGAGATCATATACACAGAAAAAAGCACAGTGGCAAGGTTAAATATATTTGAATAATCATAATATTCATATAATCATAATGCATCAAAAAATTGCAGTTGTTGTTTTTGTTATTTATATGCCTGAGGGATGAAACGAGAGATAAATTCAACAAGAAACAGAGGAAAACAAAGGAGATTCAAGCCGGTTTTGCTAGTGGGTGAAAAAATGCAAAATTAACAACATATACAAGAGATAACGATTTTGGGTTTTCGTAATAAAAATATATATTTAAGGATAAAACTGTGGGTCACATTAGTAGGGTTAAAAATATAAGAACTTAAATCAACCCAAAATTGATTGGTTATACTACAATCACAAAATAAAAGGGCAGCTGTGTCTTCAACAAGACCACAAAATGTGCAAATTTCATCAACATCAAAATATTTACAGATAGATGAATTAAAACTGTCGCTCGTATCTTTTAAGTTGTTGCGCTTGTTATAACGTCTTAAGTTCATGATAATGTCAACATGGCGGATGAAGTCCTGATCGCATTCATACTTAACGCGACCAGGCTATAGAGTACGGACTCTTTTAGCGCTCGTTAAGTAAGTACTCATTGAGTATGCGGTTTGGAACGCAGCCAGAGATACGCTGATTGCTGGCATTCTCATCCTGTGATGTACATTGTGATCTGTTATTGTGCCATCACATTGATAATTCTGACCACATGATCCTGGACGACAAGAGTACCAATAAGAGCAAAATTAAGTCTCTTTTTTTGCCTTGCTGTCTTCAGGGCTCAATAATAAATTTTTGTTTGTTTGTTTTGTTTTCTAACCAAATCAGATAGTTACGATTTTAACTTGTGGCCATATTTTCAGAGCTCATACTGAGATAATAATAAAAAATATATATATATTAACAACATATACAAGAGATAACGATTTTGGGTTTTCGTAATAAAAATATATATTTAAGGATAAAACTGTGGGTCACATTAGTAGGGTTAAAAATATAAGAACTTAAATCAACCCAAAATTGATTGGTTATACTACAATCACAAAATAAAAGGGCAGCTGTGTCTTCAACAAGACCACAAAATGTGCAAATTTCATCAACATCAAAATATTTACAGATAGATGAATTAAAACTGTCGCTCGTATCTTTTAAGTTGTTGCGCTTGTTATAACGTCTTAAGTTCATGATAATGTCAACATGGCGGATGAAGTCCTGATCGCATTCATACTTAACGCGACCAGGCTATAGAGTACGGACTCTTTTAGCACTCGTTAAGTAAGTACTCATTGAGTATGCGGTTTGGAACGCAGCCAGAGATACGCTGATTGCTGGCATTCTCATCCTGTGATGTACATTGTGATCTGTTATTGTGCCATCACATTGATAATTCTGACCACATGATCCTGGACGACAAGAGTACCAATAAGAGCAAAATTAAGTCTCTTTTTTTGCCTTGCTGTCTTCAGGGCTCAATAATAAATTTTTGTTTGTTTGTTTTGTTTTCTAACCAAATCAGATAGTTACGATTTTAACTTGTGGCCATATTTTCAGAGCTCATACTGAGATAATAATAAAAAATATATATATAAATTAAAGCTGCAAGCAGCGTTGAAAGGGCCCTTGCACCCGGAGCCACCTCCACCCAGTGACCTCAGGAAAACAGTGAACGGTGGGCAATATGCATTTAAAGTGGTAAATATAGGAGGAATATGTCAAAGTCATTTATATGTGCCTGCTGCCAACTGAATATTGGCATGTAGATGTCTTCAGGCCAGCACTTTTATCAAACGTGAAGTTTGGTTCAGATTGAACATGGCATGCTTGAGTTAGTGTAAAACATGACATATTTTACATATCCTGTAAAATCCTGACATATCCTGTTGACAACAGATGGCACTATTATTATAACTGAATATTGGCCTTCAGGCCAGGACTCTTACCAAACATGTGAAGTTTGGGGCAGATTGGACATTGCAAAATTTAGTTAGAGTAAAACATGACATTTCCTGTAGCCAACAGGTGGCGCTATAAATTATAACTGATTATTGGCATGTAAATGTTTTCAGACCAGGACTCGTACCAAACATGTGAAGTTGCATGTTTAAGTTAGTGTAAAATAAGTAATTTCCTGTTGCCAGATCGGACATTGTATGGCTGTGTTACAACAACTTCCATGAACAACATGTTCAGTCTGTACCAAACTTCACTTTTTGATAAAAGTCCCGGCCTAAAGACATCTAACTGCCCACATTCAGTTATAGTCATAGCGTCACCAGCTGGCAGCAGGAAGTTTGGCACATATGAAATGAAAGTGACGACAGTGACGTGACGTGGCCAAGTATGGTTACCCATACTCAGAATTAGTGCTCTGCATTTAACCCATCCTAAGTGCACACACACAGCAGTGAACACACACACCGTGAACACACACCCGGAGCAGTGGGCAGCCATTTATGGGGAGCAGTTGGGGGTTCGGTGCCTTGCTCAATGGCACCTCAGTCGTGGTATTGAAGGTGGAAGAGAGCGCTGTACATTCACTCCCCCCACCTACAATCCCTGCCGGTACGAGACTCGAACTAGCAACCTTTGGGTTACGAGTCCAACTCATATATGTGAATATACTATAATATACTATATGTGAATATACTATAAATGATATAGCCCACCGTTCACTGTTTTCCTGAGGCCACCAGGTGGAGGTGGCTCCAGATGCGAGGGCCCTTTCAATATATATATTTACATATAAATCTCTGATTTCTTCTGGTTTCCTGTAACACATAGACGGTGCAGTTGAATTGACCTCAAACCTCTCTCACACTGGCCCAGGGCCCTCAGACCCATCCTTATTGTCGAGTCTTGAAGTTGCTGTTTCCCAAACTGTGTGTTTGCAAGCTGTTTCTCTCTCCCTTTCTCTATTTGTCATTATAATAAAGTAAAATGTGCCTCTCCCATTTATTTTAGAGCAAGCAGACAAATGCACCTCCCGCTGGAAAGATGAGCCCATGCAGAATGGTACAGTAACACCCTCCATCATCCATTTATCTATCTCTCTCTTTCTTGTGAAGTGCTGCTATATAGTGGGTGTTTCGTGAGGGAATACAGATCATCATGTCAGAGATGGAAGAGTGTTAAAGGGTTAGTTCACCCCAAAATGAAAATTAGGCCATAAATTACTCATCCTCAAGGCATCCTAGGTGTATATGACTTTCTTCTTTCAGATGAATCCAATCGGAATTATATTAAAAATTGTCTTTCATCTTTCAAGCTGTTTCATGGCAGTCAGCGGGTGTTGCATGCTTCAGTCCAAAAGAAGTTAAATAAAGTGCATCCATTCATAATAAAAAGTGTCTCACACGGCTCCGGGGGGTGAACAAAGGCCTCCTGTAGCTAATCGATGCGTTTTTGTAAGAAAAATATCCATATTCAAAACGTAATAATAACTTTAATATAGCTTGCGCCAACAGTTGTACACTGGAAGCAGCTCGGGGCGGATGACGTATGAGGTCAGCGTTGCGCATGCGCCGGTGAGTCACGTGAAAACCAACGTTTGTTAACAGGAGCAAAGGAAGCAAAGTTTCCTTACTTTAGCAAAGGAAAACCAGTCTCCTATTGGCTTATATCTGAATCCTCTGACATTCTTCTTTACAAATCCTCGTTTGGAATTCTAATTAGTGACCATTGTTTTGTTTTGATCTCTCCGCTGCGCTTCCGCGTTCGTCACTTCTGAGCGGCGCATGCGCAAAGCCGACCTC